AACGAGTGTCACCGATTGAATTGAAAGCGAGCTTTGAAAAGGCTTACTGGAGCCTTGAACCTCATCTTGAAAGCGATGATTTGAAAGAATTGGCGGCCGCAACCCTACGATCCGTAGCTCTGAATTACATCCAGCGCAAAGTACACAAACCTCCCAAGACACTTTTGGTTGCCATCGAACAACTGAAATGACGTGACAACATCGTCATCACCAAACCAAATAAAGGATCGGGAGTGGTCGTAATGGATAAGTCCGAATATCTGCGACTATTATCCGAAGCTTCCATCAATGATTCCAGTAAATTTCAAGCTGTTCCCCTGGAAAGGCCCTCGAGTAAAGGTAGACCGCCAACATATTACCACCCCCTCCTAAAGAAAGAGAAAGATTTAGACGCCATTGTTCGTAGAATTCTGCCTAAGTCCATAGCAGATACTGTTCGTCCTACAGGTTCCAGATTAGCGCATTTGTACGGCTTACCGAAAAACACACAAGGAGCGCTTGGCGATGCGCCCTATACTATCAGCAACGCAAACTTACAACTATGCACTGGCGAAATGGCTCGACACTAAACTTAAGCCTCTCTCTCTGAATCGCTACACAGTAACTGACATTTTTTAATTTGCCGACGAAATTCGCGAATTGGAAATATCAAACGGCGACATTCTGGTTTCTTACGACGTGTCCTCCCTCTTTACCAACGTACCCTTGGATGAAACAATTGAGATACTTGCGAACAGAGCTTTTGACAACGACTGGTTTAATTCAACCTATGACCTGAACCTGACCAAAACGGACCTTGTTGACCTTCTCAGTGTAGCTACAAAAGGAAAACTCTTCCAGTATAATGGAGCACTTTACGAACAGACGGATGGCGTTGCCATGGGTTCCCCCCCTGGTCCCCTGCTAGCTAATGTGTTCATGTCTTCAATTGAAGAAAACCTCGAGCGAGAGGGTAAACTCCCTTCTATCGAAGGTACGTTGATGATACACTTACTATCATGCCAAATATCGCAACAGCATCTAACTTCCTGGACACGCTTAACAAGGCACATTCTTCCGTAAAATTTACGATGGAAACCGAATGCAATGGCATGCTCCCTTTTTTAGGCATCCAGTTACTGAACCGTTCGCCCCAAATAGAGACAAAGGTGTACGTTACCCACGAATTCAAGTCTCCTCTTACATTACCAAAGTCGCATTGACAATCGGTACAAACAGGGTTTACTCCGAACTATGCTGGGTCGAGCACATCGTTTATCTTCTTCTTGGTCACACTTCTCAGACAAATGTGACCAATTGAAGACAGTATTCTTGCGTTTAAAGTACCCCAAACACCTCATCGACTCTGCCACCAAAAATTTCGTTGACTCAAAGGTTTGTGACCAGCAGCGACCATTATTACCAACTAAAGAGACGGATGACACAATTCGAGTGGTTCTACCATTTAAAGACCAAACCTCAGCAAATTTTGTGAAAGGACAACTCAAGGATCTGAGCCTAAAAGTGAACACCAACATCCAGCCCGTATTTGTCAGCCGAAAAATTGATCAAGAACTGAATGTGAAAGAAGCAAAGCCATCGATCGTAAATGAACAGTGTGTTGTTTATAAATACCAATGTGACCTGTGCGATGCAGGTTATATAGGATACACACGCGGACATTTACACAATCGTGTAAAAGGACATAAACAACAGTCCTCAGCCATTGCCAAACATTGCAAGAACGTACACGGGACGATCCCTCAGGACCTACTGAAATGCTTCGAAGTTCTTAAGAAGTGCAGGAACAAATTTGACTGCTTATTGTACGAAATGCTTCATATAAGAACTTTAAAGCCAAACCTGAACGTGCAATCGGACTCTATTCGTGCGAAAGTATTTGTATAATCTTCGCACCTATTATGTTAATTTTTCGCGCCACATCGCTTAAATACTGTTATTTGCATGTTTTAAACTTTTACCTTGATAATGGAGTCATGACTACTCTGAAACGTCGGATTTTATCGTTCGTTTTTACCGTTTTATCTGGTTCAATTTTAATTCCCTAAATTGGGTTATTTATTTATATTGCTGTTAACAATTTACATTATTATCAAATACAACTGTAAATATGGTAGCCTACAATACTAAATTTATTATTGTTTAAAAAATAAGGCTTGGTATTTTTGCTGTTTAAAATACAAATGTTCAACCATTATGACATACTAGTACTACAGTAGTTCTCTGAATGGTATCACTATGACAACTCCTACAAATAAGAACCTACTAAGAACCTAATCAGCCTGAGTTCGGAAAAACTACCCCAAAATATAAGAACCCATTCAGCCTGAACCCAAAAATTCTAGGTTCTTATACGCGGGTGTTTACTGTATTTAAAGTAAATGATAGGAGACTTGCAAGATTCAACAGTATGTGACTGTTTGTTTCTGAGTTTTAAATTTTTGGATCTGTATTTGTTCTGTGATATCATGATGAAAACAGGCTCCAAGCTTAGGTAATAATGACTGAAAAAGAAAGTTATAGATTTTGTGAAATTATGTATTTTACAGTACCAAGTATTCAGTGTTGTAAAATTTACATTTTTATTTATTTGCCTAAGTTTCTTTATTGGCTGTATCATGTGCTGTCATTATATTATCCGGGAGGTTATTTAAGCAGTGAAAATAACACTGTTGTTGTTATTAACACCTTTATTAGGTCGTTATGAGCTCGTTTTAGGCAATGCACCAAACACCTTTAAGATATGAAGTAAATTTGCGTACATTTGCACCAATAAAATAGTCAATAGGATGAAAACTAGTTATACATACACTTATTCACATGCTCTTATCAAACTGCTATGTTGTGAGAAAAATGTAAAAAATATAATATTTTAGAATAGAACAAGGAAACCAAATGAACCATTTACAAGGATAATAATTATTTTTCTTTCATGATAGAAAATCTTCTATAAGAGGTCTTTAGAATGGCTGAAAATATTATCAAACAAGATGCCAAACTGAAAAGGATAACCTGGAAAACTAGGCAGACACGCTTAGAGACAAACTGGGAGGGCTTCAGAGAAACTCTGTTTAGTGATGCTTTGTTTAAAGAAGCTTTACCATCATCAGTAAAGTGCTCTGCGTGCTATTGTGACCTTTTTTGTGTGTTCAAAGTGTGACACGGATACTCACAACAGCCATCCCATGCATGATTGGGAGTTTTAGAATAGGGAATTTTTTCAGTCGTTACTACCTACTGAAGCGATTGACTCTCAGGGAAAACTGTTTCCATTAATTTAGTACAGAGTACCATAATGCATAATTGACTTGATTAATGAATTTTGGATGAGAAATATTGAAATCACTGTTAGTATTTAAGAATTTGTTAATGCTTAGCGTACGTATATTGAGTTATGGATGCACGTGGGAAGTTTGGAGAGCTCGAAAAATGTGAAAGAGTAGCTCGAGGCGCCTCTAAGAGCTACTCTAGCTTTTTGAGGTCACGTCATCTTATTTACGCACAGGTGTGCATGAGTAAAGATTTTTTTATAGTAGCTCGATAGGACTTATATACGACAAGCACGCACACTGTGTTTTAATCTATTATAAAGATTATTTTTTTTATTACCGTTGGAAGCCAATGTTGTGTTTATTGTTTTTATTTTTCCCCTTTAACTATAGTGTATACTTAATTAAACATGGAACTACAATGATTAACTGTAAGGTATTTAGTATTAGATATGCAACTCTTTACTGGAAGTATTATTTTCATGACAAAAATTATTCATGAACGTAAATGTTGTACATGTTGTTTAAAATAAATTTCAGGCCAAAATGAATTCAAACCAGTTTCAAATGTACTTTCATTGTTTATGAAATTTATCGTACTGGGTCATTCCACGGTAATGTGAATCTAGATGTTGGTTTGTAAAAAGTATCAAATTTGTTTAAGATTAACTGAAAACTAAAATCGAAATGTTTAAAGTTGACAGTTTAAGCACTATCATACAATTTCCAGGTCATATTTTTCCAAAAATAGTAATTTATTCTGCATGTGTTGCCAAAAGCCGTTGTGGAAAAGACAAATTTTTTTTGACTTATTAGAAAAGCTGATCATTTTGTTTGAAAAGCTGCTCTGGGACTTCAATATTATAAACGTGGTCTAATACGATGGACGTACCTTGCTTGAGTAATTAAAAACCGGTGCGAAGAATAGACCCATTTCAAGCGTGACGTGACATCACGTGACATGGCGAACTGGAGGACAAGCTTCAGTTTGTTTACAACATGGCGGCGAAAGCGAATACGAAGCGTGGGATATTACCCGGTTATTTTGAGTCTACAGCAGAAGGAATAAAAGGAAAGGTATATTGAAAAGTTAAAATCCATCGAAGGACAAGATCCATACGAAATTTCGCGTAAAGAGTGGCTTGACGACGTCGATTGCTGGTCAGACGTAACTTATATAAAGGTGGGAATGTATCTTCTGTTTGCTGCTAACCCATACAACCAGGAACAATTTATGAACTATAAAAGCTTAGACTGCTATCAGAACTTTGCAAACGGCTGGGTAAGAGACGTTCTGTGCAAGAAATTCGGTGAAAATCGCCTGTTAATAATGTCTTCTCCGCAACGATTTCACTATTAAGAGTTTTGATTGCAGAAAGAAAAACGGGCCAAAATGTTTAAATTTTCCAAGTGTTCTAATTAATAGTCAGTTTAATGTTTTATTTTTGTTTCGGAGAAGACATTTTCGTCGCCAAGAAGACGGCTACGAAAGCAAGACTTGTTTTTGGAGGCCAGCTTGTAACATCAATGCAAAGCAACGCAAGGTCGAAGGAGAACGAGTTAAGAGATCAGATTCTCTTTCAGAGGAGGAAATAAGGCAAATTGAGGAGTTCTATCTGAGAGACGACATAGGCAGAATAGCCCACTTTGGAAAAGAGCGGTAGCCTGGAACTGAAGTCGCCGCGCAAGCGCTTATGGGACTGTTTGGGGGGACGTAAGTAAAACAAAAACATGGCGGAATTTAGCGCGGAATGTAGTAGTGACAGCAAGGTTTTAACAGAGCAAAATAGCGATAAGGTCGAAGTTATCGAAAGAAACAAATCTGACAGCGTAAAGCTAAGAGAAGAAGATGTACCAGGAGCAATTTTACCTCGGGAAATACCAGAAGAATGCACCGTGAAACAGCTGCAGCGATGGCTTCTTTGCCGTGGAGCTAAAACAACTGGAAAGAAAATGCAGCTTGTTCAAAGGTAAGAAAGCTTTGAAATTATTCGAGAACTCTTATTATTGCCCCCTGTGCTTTACATTACGATGCTAGTCGACAATTTTCTGAGAACATCGTTAATACGTTCGTGTTTTGTCTATTGTGTTTCAGGGTAAAAGACTATATTGCTGGTGGCCTAAGCTCGAAGATAAAGGACCCTGATGGTGGAATCCATTTGGCTAAAGCTAAGGCAGACCTGGGACTCATGGAAGAAATTAACGCTAAAAAACTCAAAGAAAACTTTCCAGTGGACGGATTTACAGAGGATTTGAATATTTTACCTGCTATATCATTTGGTACAATATGGAGGTACATGATTGAAGAGAGTGATGCTAAGAAGCAATTATCCACAGCAAAACCTCTTGTCAAGGGATACAATTTTTTTAAATCTGGCCATGTCCTTAGCATTAAATGCAGGGAATCTGACGGAAAGTTTTATGTTAAAAGTCAAGTTCTTCCATCAATGAAAAAGACAGTGTTGTATAATTGCTTCATTGTTTTCAACAAAGATGGCAGTGTAGTAACAGCTTATGATGGTTGCCCAGCTGGAGTTGACGGGCGTTGCAACCATGTAACTTCAACACTATTTGCACTGGAGGAGTTCTTCAAACAAAGTAAAGCACTTGTAAATCCTTCCTTAACCCCTGCACTTTCTTGCACTTCAAAGCCATGTGCATGGAATGTCCCAAGAAAAAGAAAGATTGACAATCTGCCAATTGCCAAAGCCAAATTTAAAAAACATCAACATGGCAAACTAAGCAAGAGTGAGGATAAATCTCCTCCATCAACAAGGGATGTTAGAGCACCACACCAGCAGTACCCGAATACAAACACTGACATGTATACAGGGTTCGCACGCGCCTTGAAAGTCCTTGAAAGTCCTTGAATCTCAAAATAAAAATTCAAGGCCTTGAAAGTCCTTGATAATTGTAGTCAGTGCTGGAAAGTCCTTGAAATTTGTAGCTAATTTAATCCAACTTAGATTCTAGAGTGCCTTATCTGAAAATATATGCAACTGGCACAAACGTAGCAACACATAATAGTAAGATACAAATAACAAACGATCGTAACGCCACTCCGCATGTCGATCAATCGCCCATATCCATTTGTCCTGTTCTTGGTTCTATTAATCACTCTGATTGGTTGAATGTCTCGAATGTCAAGGGCCAATCAAATGTTTTGTACTATTCCCTCTTTCTGAGAAAAGCCATGTGCTTTGAGTGCTTTCCTTGTCTGGGTTAGTGTTGATTGTTTGCGTTTTGTTTCACGAGTGAGAGATTTAAAACAATGGGCAAGTGTGTTTTCAGCAACTTGTGGCTTCAGAAATCACTGTATAAAGATTGGCTTCGAGAAGTCAAGGGTGACAAGCACAAGGCACGATGCATCGTGTGTATGAAGGATGTTGACATTTCGAGCATGGGAGAGTCAGCGCTCACAAGTCACTTGAAAGGAAAAAAACATCAAACACTGACATTCCAGAAAAGGTCATTAGCAAGCGTTCCAGATTTTTTTGGCGTTTCTTCTCAACAACCAGCAACTACAACTGACGATGCCAAAGAAGTTTCAAAATCTGCTTCGTCTGAAAGTGGCGAACACAACACGCTCAACCCCACAAAGTCTAGTACTACGAGTTCATCTGGTTCATCGGTGATGGAAAGAATTGTCACTCGTGATGAGACTTTGAAAGCAGAAATTTTGTGGGCATTGAAGGTGATAATGTCTCATTACTCCTATAAATCATGCGAAGGTACGAGCAAATTGTTTCAAGCGATGTTTCCTGACAGTCGGATCGCGAGTCAGTTTACATGCGGAGAAAAGAAATGTGCATACTTGATCTGTTTTGGGCTCGCTCCACACTTCAAACAACTTTTGAAGGACGTTGTGAAAAAAGAAGCTTATGTACTTATGTTTGACGAGAGCCTGAATAGCGTGTGCCAGTCAAAGCAAATGGATATTCACATTCGTTCATGGAATCATGACAAACACGAAGTTGAAAGTCGCTATTATACCTCAGTGTTTATGGGGCATGGAACAGCAGAGGACATGCTTTCTCATTTTCGTTCAGGCATAGAAGGAATTCCTCTCAAAAAAAGTTTATCAGGTAGGATGCAACTCTCGTTATGTTTGGGTAATCCATGAAATTGTTTGCAAGATATGCTTCTTTGAAGTTGTATTATTTCTTACCCTCAATTATCGACATTTCGAAATAGGCAATAGCACAAACTTAGTCTTCACACAATTACCTAATTTCAATTATTCTTTGTCATATTGCCACTCTTTTGAAAGACCTATGTCTTGCCATTATTAAAAAAAAGTGTGATCAAATTGGAATCAATTATATTGTTTTCATGACTGGCATTTAATTTCATTGTTCGCCGGCGAACGATAATTACAAGAAGTTGCGTTAAATTTTTTTTAACATGAAAATCTTTCAATGTCTGTTATTATTTTGCTGTAGAAGGGCGAAAGATGCAAGATTACTTAATCTAATTTATTGCATGTAATATAAATTGTGCGTTCACAATCTAGCCAATGTTCCAAAAAGCGATAAAATTGTATTAAATAGAAATGAAACACCTTACTTGGTTTTCTGCCCTTTAAGGTCTAAATAAATCAACACTCTTTCATTGCAAATCTTCACAATTCCAATGCATCCATGACTAGTTCACTTCGTGTCTAGGTGGACAATGACACGAACTCTGGGACGTAATGCAAGTACTAAATTAAATAATCTGTTTCCCTTTCAATATTACAAGGAATGTTTTCTCTCATACTAGTTGTCAATGGATGGACCCAACGTTAATTGGAAATTTTACAGTATGCTGACTGATGAGGCAAAAGGGAGCATAATAGTCACATGCTGAACATTGGCAGCTGTGGTTTACATTCTTCATGGAGCATTCAAGGATGGTGCTGTGGCATCAGGATGGCAGTTAGACAGGTTGTTCTCCAGCCTTCACTGGCTTTTTCAGGACAGTCCGGCAAGGAGAGGACTACACCAAAGTAACAGGAAACTCACTGTTTGCTTTGAAGTTCTGCAAACATAGGTGGTTGGAGAATGTCTTGGTTGCAGAACGTACACAGAGTATGTGGGACAGTGTTGTCAAGTATGTTCAGAGTGCAAGGGCAGGAAAAGTTCCACAGCCACAGAATAAATCCTTTGAAACTGTACAAGAGTTTGTTGCAGATCCCTTTACGACTGCAAAAGTCGCTTTCTTCCTATCAGTAGCCAAGCAAGTGACACCGTTTTTGACACTCTATCAAACCGACAAGCCTATGCTTCCTTTCCTGGCTACAGACCTGTACAGCATGCTTGGGGATTAATGAGAAGATTTATTAAGACCACTGTTATCAGTGAAGCCAAAACCCCATTGAAGCTTACAAAACTTGACCCTGCTGACTCCAGCATTCATGCCTCTCATTCCAAGATTGACCTGGGGTTTACAGCTGACAAGAAGATCAAGGAGTCGATTGCAAAGTCCACAGTTTCAGAGAAAAGAGTGCTTCAGTTTCAGATGGAATGCAAGGAGTTCCTTATGAAAGTAGTTTGCAAACTGATTGCCAAAGCACCAATTCAGTATTCCCTTGTAAGGAATATAAATTGCTTAGATCCAAGAAACATGATGAGTGACCATGATGTTTCCATCACAAAATTCAAGAGAGTTTTGACTACCCTTGAAAATGCCAAGAAAGTCCCGGAAGGTGAATGTGATTCCCTTTTGGAACTATTTAGACAATTCATTATGGAAGTCCCCTCTTCTTCTCCGTCGGAGTTCAAAGACTATGATCCTAACAATGATAGACTTGATTCCTTTCTGTATCTTCACATGGGACAGAAGCGATCCTACCAATCATTGTGGAAAGTAGTCTCAGAGCTACTGATATTATCACATGGCCAGGCCAGTGTCGAAAGAGGATTCTCAGTCAATAAGCAACTGGAAGTCGAGAACCTCCAAGAGCGCTCCTTCATTGCTCAAAGGCTGGTACAAGACCATGTACAATCTGTGGGAGGTGTCCTTGCTGTTTCAATCAACAAACCACTTCTTTTGTCAGCTGCAGGAGCTAGGCAGAAGTATTTATCATATCTTGATGAACAAAAGAGGAAGAAAACCTCTGAGGGTGTAGAACTGAAGCGAAAGGAGCTAGTCGATGAACTTGACGAACTTAAAAAGAAAAGAAGGCGTTTAGACAGTGATGTTGACAATCTTGTTAAATCGGCAGACGAGTTTGCACAGAAAGCAGAGGACACTGGGAAACTTGTGTGGATTACAAAGTCAAATAGTTTGAGGAGAACTGCAAAAGAAAAGGAGATAGCTCGCAAAGACCTTGAGTGCAAAATTGCTAATGTTGTGGATGAACTAAAAAAGGCATAGACTTTTAGCTCGACTTAAGCTCGGCACAATCGCTACTATGATAAGGTGAACATTCTTTTATTTTGCAGTTGGTGGAGTCCTTGAAAAATAAAAAATATGTCCTTGAAAAGTCCTTGAAAAGTCCTTGAATTTTTAGTCCAAAAAAGGGTACGAACCCTGTGTATAATTTATTGCACCGTGTCAAGGAGATTGAGAATAAGACAGGCAAGAAAATGGCCTTAAGTCTCATTTTACCGCAGAAAACTTTGGAGGAAAATAAAGAAACGATTTTGGTTGAACATAATTACTGCACACCCTTGACTCACATTGAACCAGTTGAACCAGAACAAGGAAATGGTAGTCCAGTGTCAACTGAACTGTTATCACCAGTGAAATGCCATCCAGTGAGTTTGGAAGAAATAAAGGAAAGGTGCATAAAAGTTAAGAAAAGGCTCTTTGCTGATGAAAAGGATGTTGATCAAATTGAAAAAGAAACCATGGGCCAATCAGTAAATGAAAACTGGAATCTGCATCGAAAAATAAGACTAACTGCATCTAAATGCCATCGAATTGCCACTCTGCAAGCAACTACCTCCCCTACAAAGGCCATTAGTGAAGTCTTACATTACAAGCAGATCCCTCAAACAATTTATATGAAAGAGGGCTTGTCAAGAGAAGGTGCTGTTATTGCAGAATACATCAAATCAAGGAAACTGAACAATCAAAATGTCCTAGTGAAACCATGTGGACTTTTCATCAGCAAATCACATAATTTCTTGGCTGCATCTCCAGATGGCTTAGTATACAATGCCGACTCCACTGAGCCAAGTTCCAGTGGACTTATTGAAATAAAACTTGTCTTCCTAAAGGAGAATGAGACTTTGCATGATGGACTTATCAGAAAAAGAATCTTTCTTCCTGGTTCAACTGATGGACAGCTGGTTATCAACCAGAAACACAAGTATCACTACCAAGTCCAGCAACAGTTGTTTGTTACAGAGAAATCATGGGTGGATCTGGTGATTAAGGGAGTTAAAGAGCTTACAGACATCATTTGTAGACATTGAAGGTGTTTTCATTTCGACAGTAAACTTTGATCGTAAATTCTGGAGTTCAGTGCTCCCAAAACTGGAGGCATTTTACAATGAGCACATTCTTGTAGAACTTGCTTATCCGCGTGTTAAATATGGCCTTTCAAGATTTGACATGAGAGGATGTTGACTGACGTACATAATTAATTTGCTAAACTGGTATGTTGTTGAACTTACTTTCCTACATTGGCCTTCAATGCCCACGAATAATGATTTTAATTCAAGGTTGGGGTGAACAATTTTCATGTGGTTTGATAAATTTACAATAATTTTGTCTGCACCAGAATTGACTTGAAATCATTGTTCGTAATCACTTAGGTTGAATTCGGGAAAGTTCTATGAAAGGCATTAATAAGATAAAACTCACTCCATGTAAACAAGGCTGAACCTTAAATCTAAAATAATATCCCCAAGAAATTTAACGTGTGTAATTTACTTTGTGTGTATGGCTTTTTTTAACAGAAGGAGCTCAAATACACAGATTATAATACATAATAATCAAAGTCTGATTGAACAATCTTGCATATTATTGAAGATGAGGCAAATCAAGAAAGGTTATTAACCCATTGACATCCAATGCGCCCTCATGCGCCCTGTCAGAAATGGCTTGTTTTGATTGGCTGTAGCTTAGAAACAAAATTCCCCTGGGTATTGAAAAGCAGTGAAACGTGACATGCAAAAAATAAGCTTTCGTTTGAGACCAAACTCGCTATTCCACGTTTACCGCGCGATTTTTGACAAATTTTTAAAAAATGTCGTGGTCTTAGACATGGCTTCTGGAAGAATTGATGAAAGTTAATTTTCATCCGGTGAAGAGCAAGAAGTCTTTGCTGGTTTTATCGTCGAAGAAATTGAAAAAAGCGACAAGCTCGTCAAGCACAGCATGAACAAAACTTACTTCGCAATGTGGATGACGAGATGGAAGACTTCTATACTAGCTATACGCTAGTGAGGAGGAAGAAGAAAGCGACGAAAGTAGTGATGAAGAATCTGCCGCAGAAGAAAGCCAACCAAATGCTCTTCAATGGTCTAGCTAATTGCGACAAATTAATGTTGAGGAATTCTCCATTCGTCGTGGCCCGACCAGAGATCTCGGAGAAAATGCAACTGCCAAAGATTTCTTCAATGTATTTATCGACGATGCTTACATTGACAAAATCGTCCGATACACCGTTGTGTACGCTCGTTCGAAAGGGGATCGATCGTTCACATCTACCCAAGCGGAAATTTCAGCGTATCTCGGGCTAAACATTCTCATTGGAATCCATGAACTTCCTCAGCTGGCAATGTACTGGAATTCTGACGAGTTTGTTGGAGTTGATTGCTAAAAAAAAAACGATCCCAGAGCACCGCTTCATGACTCTGGGGAAATATTTACATCTTGCTGACCCGACCGGAGAAGACCAAAACGATCTCCTCTGCAAAGTTTTCCCCCTTGTAACTCGCTTGGAGCAAAAGTTTGCCTAAGCGAAGAACATATACGCATTGTTCAAAGTGAAACTTTTCATTTAGGCGTAAAAATTGGTTTGTTCTTGCTCATGACTCACAAAAAGTAATTTTATGGCTGCGCCTTTGTGACGTGTCGCGATAGTCGCTATGGCGGGCAAATTCAAAATTGACCCGCGTTAGAAAGTTTAGGATTCCTTTTGTTGAGGAGAAATTTGCGATCTGTCTTTTGGTGTTGTATTTGAGGGAAAGCTTTTTACATGATTCTGATGGAATAAGAGTGCAAAAGAGAGTCATCATACTAATAAATACTTTCAAAGCTGAAGGCAACCTTGTCAATGACTCGCTGTACATCGTGAAGTTGAATCCGTTCTCTAGCTTTAGAATTTTTTTTGAGAGAGCCTGATGCTCAAGTTGAAAATAAAATTTGACAGGGGGAAAGTATATTATTTAATATGCAACTTTGTGCAGTTTCCCTTCAGTAGAGTTAAATGAAGACATTAAAATCTTAAATTATTTTGGCAGTGGTCTGTGTGTTCACTGTGGCAGCCATTTTCTCTGGAATTTCAGAGGGTGGTCTGAGCTCTAAGGTGTGGGGCTCATTGGGTTAAATAAGATTCCACTATCTGCTTGGAGAAAAACATTGCTTTATGTACAAGTAGAAAGTGAAAAATTGTTGTATGGTTCCAGAAAGTCCATACTCACCCAATGAAAGGGCTTCGAAAATCTGAGGGGAGGGGGACCCAACAGCCAAAGTTTATTAGGGAAAGTATGAAGGCAAACTAGAAATTCCGGGGCGGGGGGGGTTGGAAGGGTTTAAATGAAAAACCCTCCTATGGGGAAGTATGGACATTTCTGGAATCATGCATTACACTTTAATCAATGAGAGGTGGTAAAAAGTTTGTAAGTGCCCCTATGATTATAAACATGTCACTAGCAATAGGAGCCAATGTTAAAGGAATTCTGCCATCAAAAATATGCCAGTTTTTCATCCTTTCAATACATCTCTCAACATGTATTCTCAGGCTAGCATTTTTTTTGTTGTGTGCCATTTCTTCTCTGCTGAACTGAGTTTTTCCTTTAAGAAAAGAAGGTATGTTTACAGTAACCCCTTTTGCAGCAAAGTCATCTTGTATGTCAAAGCCTTTGTCTGCCATGACATCGTCCCCAGGATGCAAGTAGTCAATCACATGAGACATTTTGGTAAGCTCCTTGTCACTTATGCTACCAGTGTAAAGCTCGCTTAAAAATCCCAGGGCTCCAGTGGGCGAAAGACCAACTAGTCCTTTCATAGTTGTTGTTCCTTTATACGAGGAATAACACACTGACTGCATGTCAAGTGATGAGGGGCTCTCTGCTCGAATTTCAACAGCATCAATAATTAGAACTGTCCTTGGATAAAGTTCCTTGAAAATGTTTGGCATGAACTGATGTAGAAGCTCTCTCCTGGGGAGGCAAATTAAAGGCTCCAGTTCAATCCTCATAAACCGAATCCAAGTGTTAAACACAACAGAAACAGTAGTTTCAGAAACATTAAATCTGTGTGCAAGATCCTTTAGAAACAAGCCAAGCCTAAGTCTCATTAAAGTCAAAACAAACTCTTCAAATAAAGTCAATGCTCTGGGCCTTCCAAGCTTTTGCTCTGAACCACTGTCTTTCTTTTCATAACTGCCATAGTTCAGGTTCTGAGCCTTCTGACTGACCAGGTCATAAAGGAGCATAAGTGCATCCCAGTGGGGAAGGCCTGTGTAAAATTCGACATCTTCAGGGCTGTCCTTAAATTTTACAATGTCAAATTTCTGATTTTTCGTTACATGCTGAAGTCTCTTTAACTCCCTTGATAACTCGTCTCTCTCCCTTGCCAACCTTTCCTTTTCCTCTCTCATCTCTTTAAGTTCGGCTTCCATTCGATCCAGCATTTCTACAGTCATTTCAGTTTGTGTCGCTGCATCGCAAAAAGAGGCCGGAATGGACTCCTCGTGATCAATTTCAATAAGAGTCCCTTCGTCAATTTCGGTAGAAGATCCCACGTCCACTTTTCTTTTCTTGCTTGCTGTATTTGCAGTCGCTTCCGTTCTGCAGGGTTTTTGTTAGGGCCGGGACACCGGGACCTTTACTCGTCTATTTTAATTTTTGTCCCGGCTATTTTCACGCTCAGTTTGTACTAAAACTCCTGTGGAGACTATGGTCAGCCGACAATTTTAAATTTGAACGTAAATCACGGTAAAATAAATAAAATTTTGTATTATTTCTCTGCTTTTGGGTATGTTTCTTTGTGATAAATTTTGTGCACGTGCAGCTAATTTGGAGTTCGTGACTTGAGACGTTATGAAACAAAACAAACGCATTTATCGGCACTCCCAAAGTTCGTCATCGGGGTATCGAATAACCTCCATTCGTAAGTAAATGTGTCAAAATAAATAGTGTTACAAAACCTGGAAGCCTCGCGAGAAAAAAAAATGCGTATTTCCGTCGTGGTTTCTCATGGTGTTGCGACAGACAACGGCAAAAAGTCAGCTTGTTCCATCGCTACAGTTCAGTCTAGCATTTGCTCTCGAGTATGGCGTAACGCCATAGTCGAGAGAAAACATTCAAACAGCAATTCTCATCTTTGTGACAACGTTACGTGACATATCTACTTTGGCGGCTTTGCACAGTACCAAATGAAGCGGAAAATTAATCAGTACTTCACTCAGAGGTAAACTTTTTTCTTTGTAGTTATAATGTAATTAGTTTGTATGTACAGTACCTGCCGCTTCGGCGAGATCATAATATCGGTAACATTGCGTTGCTATATTTAGTCTGACGTTGCTTTAAATTATCCGCAAGGTTTTTTAATTTGCCTTAAGCTTTTACCTTTCTTGGTCTAACAAGTTAAGATGGGCATGGTATGTTCTGTTGTTCTCCAGTTGTTTTTCATTCAACACCATTTTAATATATTCACGTGTGTAAAATTTAGAAATCAAGCATCAAGAGTGAGCCAAATGTCGACGCGTATGTTGCTGCTCTCCAGCTTGAATGCGATGAGAAAAGCCACAACATGGAAGATTCTGACTATGAATCAGACTATTTCTCTGATTAGCTATAAAGTATCAAGTATAGATAATTCATTGCTCTGAGTTGTCTTAGGTTAATCACACCATAAATGAATGCATTTCTGAGCCAAAAAATTGATTATTTTAAAAGAAGAAATAAATTATCAAGGAAACTTTTTTTACTTGTGAATTTAAAACAAGAAAACACCAGTTCTTGACATATGAAGAGCATCCTGACTGCAGAAAGATACATTATGGATTATTGCAGCTGAAAAGTATGTGTTTTATATAGGAGTATTATAGATTTATACCATGTGAACTTTACAACTTTGAAAATAAATATTAAAATTGTGAAAAAGCCAAAGTTGTCATATATTTCTTAAGCATTTTGGTATGTAATCCGTACTACAAGTTGCATGTTTCATAGTAACAAATGCCATATTATATCAGCCAATATAAGACCAGAAAGTGTGCAAAAGTAGCCTCAAATGCACCCATTTGGGCCTAAAATTTTCAAATTTTCCCTACGTGGCAAGAAATGGCGGCAGAGCCGCCATTTTGGTCCCTCTTACTTTGGAAAAGGTCCCTGTTACTGAAAATCTTAACAAAAACCCTGGTTCTGGACAAAATCCGTCGCTCCTTTTCCTTCTTGCTCCAAGGAAATATCGATGGAAGGTGAGTTCTGCTGAGCTTACTACCTCCAGTCCAATGCGCAGAGCAAACGCGTGTACTGTCGGACTCTATCTTCAAATTATCATTTCTTAGTAAACGAACATATTCTCTGCGAATACTTTCATCTTTTGGAATTCGATAAAACGTCAATCCGAAGGAGTTTCTGAAATTATTGGTGCACAAAGGCACACAACAACTTACGTGCTTGGGCATAATTCAAGATGGCCGACTTGAGCGTCCCCCAAACAATCCCATAAGCGCTTGCGTGGCGACTTCGGTTCCAGGCTACCGCTCTTTTCCAAAGTGGGCTATTCTTCCTGGCAAAAAAGATAAAGTGTCTGTGAATGTTGAGAGTGACAAAGAAGCAAGACAAAAGCGATTGCTACTAGTAAATCTGCGCGAAGCACATGCTTTCTTTAAGGAAGGTTTGAAGTTGAAAGTCGGATTTTCCAAGTTTGTGTCTTTGAGGCCTCCGCAAGTGCTGCCTATGACCCTTTGTGATCAAGAAGTTTGCATGTGCAAATATCACTAAAAAAAAAACATAGATCTCCTTCTCCATACTCTTACCACCAATGCTGCCAACGTTGTTGCCGATGTCAGACACACTGGTTGGACACATGTCCCTTGCTTTGTACACACCCTGAATCTAGTGGTTTCTGAGGCAATTGAGGCTGACACAAAGATTCATCATTCATTTGCGATTACAAAAAAGGACACACCCCTGGTTTCCAACCTTAGTTACCAGATGAGACGCCACTTCACAAATATTGAAAGTGCTCTCATGCTGGTGATGTCAACCTTACTGGATCCCTGGATGAAGAAATTGGTGTTCAGTGAATCAGCAGCCGTGAGACAGGCAGAGCAGTGGGTTGTTCAGGAGATGTCAAGGCATGTCCAGACTAATAATTTCAATGAAGATAGGCAGCCCAGTAATACAACTGAAGCAGCTGGCCTGTGGGATCTCTTCGACTCAGTGGTCAAGCAATCAACATCACAAGGAACCTCAACCAGCAATGCAACACTGGAAGCCAGAAAGTATTTTAAGGAACCAGTGCTGGCAAGACTCCAAGATCCCTTACTGTGGTGGAAGGAGGATGAGCAATACTATGAACTTATTGCAAAAATTGCAAAGAAGTATCTTTGCATCCCTGGTACATCTGTTCCTGCCGAAAGGGTGTTCTCTAAAGCAGGGGAGCTAGTCTCCATGAGGTATAATCGGCTGAAGCCAAAGAATGTGAACGTTCTTGTTTTTAAACAAAAATATCTGAGATTTTTCTTTACCTGCTGCTATCTAAGCTCTTTTTTTGGCTAACTTGGCTGGTTGAAAGTAAAGTAGACATTAGTTACCCGATATTGCTTTTTAACGATGTTGATTTTCACTTGGGGTCTAGAAATATGTATCAAGTCCCCATGTTTACTCGTCGAATAGTTAGTATGGCCCTTCTGTATGGTCCTGTAAACCAGGGAGGCTCTGATGTATTGAGTATTAAAGCGCAAGACCCATAATAAGTTGGGCACCCGCGATTAGTTAGTTTGAGTGACCTGTGCAGTAACTGGTAACATTTCATTGTGCACCTGCAGATTGCTAAAAGATTGTACCATTGCGGTCTTCTTCATTTCCTTGAGAAAATTAAAAATGTGTCCCAATAAATTGAAATTTTTGACTTGTTTGACTGTCTTGTTGATGCTACTATAGAGAACTGAACCGGAAACCGTGCGAGAGTGCCTTAATTTAGTCAATTAGATCACGTGACTTACATTTATTTCAATGACGTCAGAGTATCGATATCGATATTGATATCAAAGAAAAAAGGAATTATTGTACTTGGTATCGTATCGATTCGAAAAAGCCGTATCAGCCCATCCTTAGTATGAAGTTGTGCGCTTCTCTTGAAACTGCAATCGGGCAAGCCAGTGGATTCTCTTAGCTAGCCAATGACAATTCCCAAAAGATCCGCGTGATCATGTCCGTAATGGGGAACAAAGAAGACTCCATTTTGCGCTCATCTTTATTTCTTTTCTCGACTGTTTTGCTTAATATAACATTTCTAAAGATGGGTTTTACTGTAGTTCAATAGGAAAACTAGAACAGCGTGAGAGTTTTAAATGTGTAGAAAGTCATTGGCACCGTGGAGTTAAAAGATGGGACAGCAGTTGACATATCGACTGGTGTGGCCATTTATACAGCTATGATTTTGAAAGTTTGTGGTAAGTAAAAATTGCGATATTCGTTACATGATCAAAATCTTACCAAAGAATAGATATAACGGTTTGAATTAAGCTTACATAATGCCCAGTGCTTGCTTAAGTTTCAGTTGACTGAAACTCAAATAATTCTGAGAATCGAAACGGCTTGCATGCTGCCGTTTCTTAAGTTTACACTTTACAATGAAATAAATCTATCAGTAAAGTTTCAAGATAACTTTTAATTAGTCACGTTTTGGAACATTCTAGACTCATAATACAAACTGTGATTAACCAAACCTGATTACATAAAGAAGCCCTCCTTGATAAAAACAAAATAAAGTGTTCAGCCCTTTTCAGTAAAGTCTATGGAAGAGGTGTGCTAACTCTAATATAAAAATCATTCAATATGGCGGAGATTTCCCAATCCCAGTGCACTTTGTTAAATTAGGATTCCAATGAATGCTCTTTTCCTTATAGCTATCTAAGGCCTTGTCTGAGCTCATTTTTTTTTTCATGTCATGGAATCCAGATACAAAATGGAAAGGCTTCTTGTAGACAACCTCATTCGAGGCCAACAGAGAAAGCTGCGAGCCCAGGAAAAAAGACAAACAACAGTTAAGTCTGCAGTTTGGGATGACTTCATTCTAATTTATTGTTACAGTTACATCAAGATTTAAATTTTAAAAAATCATTTTTATTTAACTGTAATTAACCCCATGGTGTGACAGGGCCCGCCTTAAGTGTGTTTCTTAAGAAAATATATATACTTCTCCCAAAAGATTTTTTTTGTTTTGGTTTGATCTTCCCATAATAGAAATTCGATAGTGTTGAAGATCCCCCTTCCCCCAGACGTTTTCAGATCCTCTGTGCAAGTGCATGGGGAGAGTATGGATATTTTTTGGAACAGCAAAATGCTGATCTTTATTTTCCATGTAACACGAGTTATACCGATGGCATCCAGTTCTCATTCTGATTGATCAGGGTCCAGAACAGTTATTCACCTAGCTTTGTTTTAGTACGTTTAAATGAAATTGTATCCTTAAATTTAAAAAATTTTTAAGTGTTTCCATTTCTAGTTTGTCAAATGTAGATTTTACACTAAAGATATAGTTTCTGAAAGGTTTACCACCATTAAATATCTTCCAAAATTTGAAACCCCAGCTTTCAAATATTGAGATTTAGTTACTCTAGCTTTCACTTGATAGTTTCCAATTTGTAAGAAGGGGAGTGAATGGTAAGAAAGAAGAGGGAAGGGCACAATGTTCCAGGTTTCAACCCTTTTTCTTTAAATCTATCCAGCACTGTAGGTTAAAGTGTATAGGCATGACTTCTCACTTGGGACTGTGAGCTGAGAATTACATGATCAATAATTAGGGATCAAAATATTTGGTCAGAATTTACCTGACTTTTTTCTCTTCTCCTTCACTCCCATTTGCCCCACTTCTAACACCACATGGGTGAGTGTCTGGTTGAAATGCTCTGTCACAGTTTATGGATGCTTGCACTCTTTCCTCACTTAGGCTTTCATAGTTGATTTCACAAAAATTATGCAGAACAAAGCAAGCATAAATGACATGTGGCAGGTCATTTATGTTGATGTCCATTGCGCATCTAAAGTAGCCAAATCTTGCTTTGAGGCATCCAAAGGCACATTCAATAACAAACTGTGCACTGCGTAGCTTTAAACCAAACTGATGTTCTTTTTCAAGAATGAGTTCATACTAGTTGCCACACAATACCAGAGTAAAATTTATTCGAAACGAGTCATTTCTGAAAGAGATTTCAAAGGTTTGCACGAGACATTAAGAGTTCTACCTTGGGACCTGGTAACATCAGATCCTGGTATTGACACTAGCTTAGAGAAATTCCAGGACATACCACAAAGAACTCTAAAACGGTGTTCTAGGCCTCCATGGATTGATAACAAAATTATGAAATTGATTAGAAAGAAGAAGAAAATTTGGAAATGTTTGAAAACTAATGGATCCCCTGATTTATTTCTGAAATTCAAGGATCTTAGAAGGAAGACCAAGAAGCTTATTAATTCAAATTACCAACAGTATCTTCATTCTTTATCTGAAAACTCCAAGAAAATCACACGCATTTCTGGTCATTCCATTCTACTAAATCTAAGACAAAAGGAATTCCAGAAACTGTTATTCACGGAGACACCAGGTCTAGAGACTTGAATTCTAAGGTGGAACCATTCAATGTGTTTTTTCAATCTATCTACTCTAAATCAACAACTGATGTCAATCTGTTGGCCACAACAGCTCCAGAGCTTGAAGGAATTTTAAGTAGGATCAACAAAAACAAGGCATCTGGTGTGGATAACTTACCTGCTCGTATTTTACGTACTTGTGCAAAAGATCTCTCTTACCCATTTGCTCATTTATTTAATTTATTGCTGAGGAGAGCTTGTAACCAACTAAAGATCCATCTCCTTATTGCCAATCCCAGCCAAGTGTTTGGAACGTATTGTACATTCTGCTATTTATGATCATATCTCACCATTTTCAACTGATTGGCAACATGGTTTTGTTACAGGTAGATCTTGTGAGACTCAACCAATTTTAACCCATCATAAATGGGCTACTGCCCTTGACAAAGGAAGACAAGTTGATGTAGTCTTTTTAGACTTTTCCAAAGCCTTTGACGAAGTAAATCACTCAGTTTTGTTGAAAAAGCTGTGCAACTTTGGGATAACTGGATCATTATTACTATGGTGTGAAAGTTATTCAACCAATCATCAACAGAGTTGTGTTGGATGGTACATCCTCTTCCTGGTCTGATGTCTCATCTGGAGTCCCTCAGAGCTCTTTATTAGGGCCTTTATTTTCTGTTCTATTTATTAGTGACCTCCCCAAAGTTGTTCTTCATGGCAGTACTATTGCCCTTTATGCGGATGACTGCAATTGTTCCAGGATCATTGACATGGCTGGCGATCTTGAATTATTTTAACAAGACATGCTCGAAAGGGTACAGAGAAGAGCTCCTAAATTTATCTTAAAGTGCAATAATCCCTATGACACTCGTTTGAAGAAGTTCAATCTCATGTCACTGGAGAAGAGAAGATTACTGACTGATGTGACGTTCTTATATAAATTAAATAATGGCAACATAAATATTGACGCGAGTAAAATTTTAGATTTCCACTCCGAAGCAGACTGCTTTTCACTTAGGTCTAAGGACTTTTTAACTTTAAAGAAGAAATATGCCAGAACTATTGTCTTTAAGTATAGTTTTTTCCATTGAATAATTGACATGTGGAATCAATTACCTTTCGATATTCGTCATTCTGATAATGTAAATATTTTCAAGTCTAGAGTTAAGAAATTTATTAGTGATTCTTAAGTAATTTTCCTTTTCATAAATGCATTTCTTAAATTTATTATCTTCAGTGTATTTATATTAGTCCATAGGTGATCTGTTTTTGTTCTGATAATGTAAATATTTTTAAGTCAAGAGTTAAGAAATTTATTAGTGATTCTGAAGTTTTTTTCCTTTTCATAAATGCATTTCTTGAATTTATTGTCTTTAGTGTATTTATATTAGTTCATAGGTGACCTGTTTTTATATGGGGTTTAGAACTCCTTTGCAGATTGTCCTTTGGCCTTTTTGACCATAGATTGTAATAAATAAATAAACAAATGTAAAGGGAAATCAATTTGGACAAAAAGGTTTGAGTGAACTGTTCTTCAGTCAAAATAATTGTGTAAGCAATAGAGGGTTTGTTTTATCGATGAAATTAGTTTACAACAATTGATTTTGTATGTGTTTGTAATAAATTTTTGTGTTTCTCAAAACTCCTTTACCCATAATGCCTTTCGGTAGTTCTCAAGCATGTTTTACCAAACAAGGATGGCGATTGCCCCTTCGAATTTGATTCCCGAACAAGTGAAAGAAATTGCACAAGCTGCAATCAACAGTATTAATCAGCTCACCTTGTTAATTGAGCATGGACCATCACCCACAAGTGGAACTTTAAGAATTCCTACCAATGCAAATGTAGCAGATTAGCAGAATTATAGGGGAGGTTTCTGACAGTTTCAAGAGGAAGGCTGTGCCAACAGAAACCCTGTCTCTGGAAGATACAGAAGCCCTTCTAATTCTACCTCACAGCTGTATCCAATTGTTTAGAATTTAAAGTGCTCTGCTGATCGACTGTTGGCATCTGAGATAGTTTCAAAGGATGTTATGATACTTGAAATGGGGAGAGAAATACTGACAAAAGCAGAAAAGCCTGATTTAGAGAGGAGTGGACTAATTATATCAGGTATTTGTTGAATAGTTAAATAATAATAGTTAATAGTTAAAGGAAGTCATCTGTCTGTGGAGACTTATGCATGGTTGAATAGTAGACCTAATGCCACCTTTTGCTCAGCTAGCCTGTTGAAACATCTCAGATTCAGTGGCAAGGAAATGAGACTCAGGCTACCCACCATAGATAACTGCAATGGATATGAGAGTGATGGATCTAGACGAGACCCTCTATGCCTGTAGTGAAGAACGAGATCCTGAAACAAGAGGATGTGGAGCAATGCAACCCTCAAGGCTATGTATTCCCAGCAGAGTTGAATTTGGAAGTGGATCCATTAATTGGAGCAAACATACCTGAAGCCCTACATGTGGTGATTTTATGGATGCCACCCTATCTATCCCACATTTAGAGTGAGCAGGCGCTACGGTGTCCATCCGTTTAAAAAATGTATTGAAGAAGGAGTTGGAGATTTCAATCAATGCAATCACTTTCTGATCTGATAGCATGACTGTGTTATGCTACAATTGAAACAAATCCAAGCGCCTCCACACTTATGTCGCTAACCGTGTCGCCTTCAGTAGAGAGGATTCCAGTCCCTCACAGTGGAGATACAGAGTCAAATTCTAATCCTGCAGATGATGCTTCACAGGGAGCAACTGCAGAGTCCTTCATCAAGAATGACCACTAGATAAAGGGGCTGGTGTTTCTGGTGAAATAGAAATCTGAATGGGAAAGGTCCCCTCTGTGTGGTGCAGAATTGGAAGAAGATGACCCAGAGGTTAAACATCTTGTGCCTACATTCTGGCCCCTTAAAGGCCTATTTCCAACCTTGATGCAACGCGAGCGGCAAAACAATTTCGTGTAACAAAAAATTCCAGAAACTTTCTAAAATTGTCTTTGTCAAGAGCCATCCGAGTCATTTAGTCAATTTTTTTGTGGTAAATACACTCGCATTCATCATTTAAGAGTTTTCTCAAAGTATTTTAAATTTGGAGATTGTGCCCTTCGAAGTGAAAGGTTTCTAACAATATGGTGGCCGCTGCAAGCTGACTTCATGCTGGAAGACCAAAATTACCTGGTTCACTGAAGACGGTAGGTCTGAGAGAATCCGTATTTAATCAACGGAGAGACAGGAAACAAAGTAGTGGGTTTGCAGAAAAATTGAATAGTGAGTTTGCAGAATTTCTCTTGCATCAAAGGTGAGGTTTTTTAAAGTCATGCTGGATGATGGCATTTTTATTAATGACGAGCTCACTCCATCAAAAATTGACTACTGTTTTCCTTGTGACATTTTAGAACGAGCATCAACACTGGCCATGGATTTGAAGAGATGGGTTTATTGTTTTCTCATGAAAATGTTTCTGGTAGGCATGTTACTAATGCAGAGACCATGTGTCACATAATTTGTCCAGCTTTGTTAGTGAGCAGGTATTATACATCTCTTTACTTTTCTTTTCTAGTGGAAGTTCCAGTAATTTCTACACCAGTTTGTAGAAGCATGCATCAAGTTTTGTGGATGTGACAGGGGAAACTCTTGACAGCTACAATCAACCAAGCCAATTGCAAAACAGAAGGGAGTTGTTTGACCAAAACAAAAGGAGCTTCACTGGCAATCCGTTCTCTCTTGTTATGCATGGGTGGCAGAGATGTTGATTTTAACAGCCTGTCTAAAGATGATGTTTCAGAAGAAGTTGTACATGTGGTTTCTTGTTATGACAATCATCATTTTCCTGATTTGGAGCAAAGGTATCATTCTAAATGCAACATTCTCTAAAGTTCATGTTGTATTTGTATCTATGCAAGTTGCAATGGTTTCATAAGTTTTGAAGAAGGAGGTCTCTCCTGATGAAGTGTGCAGGCACACTTATACACACAAGGGCTTTTGTATTTGAGACTCCTTAATTTTGACCAAAGATGGGTACTTTGCTCAGTTGCACATTATACTGTTGAGTATAAATGATCATCACAATTCACATTTCAGTCTTTGATGCAATAATGTCTTTGTATTTTATTTATCAAACTTTTGTACAGTGTCAATGTCATCCTGGAAAATTTGGACAGGAGTGATACACTATGAACTCAAAACCCATGAAAATCTTGTGAAATAATTTATTGTAAATTAACAGATTTTTCACAGGATTTTCATGGTTAAATCAATGACATTTTCATGGTCTCAGTGCCATGAAAAAGACCTGAAAAATCTCATTAAAAACCTGTGAAAATTTTCATATTCATGACCCATGAAATATTGAGTAAAGTGACCTAGAAGCCATGAAATACCCATGAAAATGGCATTTCATGGCCTTTTCAAAGGTACTGAGAAACCCATGAATTTCATGCCCAAAAATTTCATGGTGTCAAAGTTCACTAGTTTTTAATGGGTTGCAGCAAATCATGACCCATGAATATCCTGTGAATATGTAAAAAATTCATTGACCATGAAAATTTTCCTTGGATTTTCATGGCCTCTCCATGGTTTTCTCATGGCACATGAAAGTTAATTGCCAGTTAGTTTTCATGGGGTTGTTAGGAATATGCAAGCACCATGAAAATTCTTTGGAAACCCCATGGATTTGGAATTAAAAAGTCTTCCCTTTTCTTGTACCAAAGACTGTACTACAGTGTATAGCTTGCAGTATACCATAACTGTAATACATACACTATCACTTAAATTATACACTGAAGAACTAACCTCTCTGTGAAACTTCTTGGTCCTGTTGTACAAGCACACACACATGAAAGACATGCCAGAAGTCTGGATTCTCTGATAGTTTATTTTGTTTCACCAGCTGTACATAAATATTACTTTAGGATTCCAAAATTGTGATAATTCAGTTTACACTTTCTTAAATCAAAAAAGTTGGTATGAAATTTTCTGCAATAAAATTAAGATGTTAATGATTTTTAGCTCTATTTTGATATCACTGATTTTTCTTGTGGAGACAGATTTTGCTCCTATATTTCTTCATATCTGTTTACTCTGATTTAAATAATCGTGGCTGTACATTAAAATATTTCTTTATAATTAAACTATTTTGAAGTTATATTATAAATAAATGTGATGTGAAAAATATTTGTACGAAATTATTGAAAATATACTCACTGGTTTAATGTATTTTTGTCTAAACTTCAAATATCATTTCCTTCGTCTAATATCATGTGTAAAATGTTATGGACAGTTATTATAATGTCTATTTATGTAACAGCATTCATGTAAATTTCTTGATATGTTTTACACTTGTGATCAATACTCTCAAGGTAACTAACAACAAAACAATTACCAACTTTCTGCACTCTTGCCTGTGTGAAGATATATCTATGGCTGACTACGTCAGTGTCTTTCTGTTTTGGCCACCTGAATGTGCCATCCTTCTTTTGGTTATCATTACTATTTGCATCTTACTATTTGGACCAAGATAGGCTACTTTAGCAAGTTTGCATTTCCTTTCATCAGTTTTGTAGACCAACACTCTTCACTGTTTGCAAAATAAAGGGAGTACATCATCAGTTATCTAAGAGCCTTTCTTATGTACGTAGTAAACCTAGAAATGGATAACTCGCCAAAACAGGTTCTTTTCAACATGAAGCCGTCGGATACTAAGCGACGCACTGTGAAAGTGAGGTGAGGTATTTCGTATTCAGAATTTGACTGTATTTTTCATTCCTAAGAACGGTCGTAAGTATTTCCATACAAACTCTTGTAATATTTCACCAGATGATCCCAGAATAAAAATTTTCAAGTTAAATCATTAGTTAGCGCTTGCGCTCCGATGTTTACGCGTAATAAGATGACCGAGCTTGAACTTACCCCTTTACGTTGTAATGCATATCGATAACTTCATCTTGAGGAAACCTCTTTGAAAAAACTTTTCAGACGGTCCATGGCGTTGATCTGGAAAAAAAGAGACTGCTACACAAACACTACGAGAAATGCAATTGAAATGGGACCATTCCGTTCGAGGTACAAAAAAAAAACTGCCACTTCTTCGTAAATCACGTGTACTTTCACGTGGTGACCTTAGGTCATCGCAGCCATCGTAGGTCAGCGGTCACATGGTGACCTAACAGGTTATCGTGTTCGACGTTACGAAATGACTCCAAAGAGGTCTCGTCACTGCGCCTGTAATCTTACAAAATAAAGCAGCACAAAAAGCTGTTCGGTGTTTTGAATTCGAAGCAAGTAGCAATCGACAGGACATCAGAGTCCAAGAAAGCCAGAGCTGACATCAACAGTGATTCCAGTGAAAGTGATCACGAAATCAACAACGATGTTGTAGAAGGCGATGTCAATGAATACATCAAGGTAACGTTTCATCCCGACTGAGAAGATGGCCTGACTCTGTTAACCGGCGACTCTATGAACGAGGTAAAAATGGCATTTTTTTCAGGTTACATTTGCACACTATTCAAAGTTCCAAATTGAGGTGAGAAAGTGATTGATTTTTCATTGTTTTGTTCCACATTTCGTGTAGATGCAATGCGTACTATTGCTGTGCAACTCAAGCATCTGTACTGTACAGGTGCCTTACTGGAGAACCCCTTGAAGATTCCTCAGCCGTAAGAATGTAAGAGAAGGCCTTGAACAGGTTTCCAGAGTCATGGCGAACAATCAAAGCCAGAAGTGAGGCAGAAAAAATTCAACAAAGTCGTCCAGGCATGGCGAAGGCAAAAAGGCCCCAAAAAATCAAAGTGAGGATCAAACATCTGGGTCATTACCTCCAGCCCCATTTGTCTCAACAAAGGAGCAAATTGAAGATCCATTGTTTTAAGTCATTATTTTGTGATTTCCTGTACGTTTTACGTTAACACAGGCCACTTAAGATGTTTAGGGACATTTTCATTTGACAGTTTTCGTGCTGTACACCAAAATTCCATCACTGGATAAATTTATAACAAGTCAGTTCCACGGGTCATGAAAGTCAGCTCGTTGATAAATCAGTGACTGTGATGAACTCATTAATACCACTTTTAATGGCCTATGGATTCATCAATGAAATTCATGGGCAACAGATTTCAGGGAATATTCATGGCCCATTAATTTTGTTCACCTAAAAGAAATGAATTGTTAGCCCATGAAATGCTGTTTGATTGCAGTTCATGGGCATGAAATTCATTCTGATGACTTTCTGGAGAAACTAATGGGTCATGAAAGTAGACTTTGAAGGAATTCATGGGTCATGAAAGTAGGCTTATAAAGAAATTCATGGGTCATGAAATTAATTCTGGTGACTTTCATGGCAAATCAATGGGTCATGAAAATAGACTTTGAAGAAATTCATGGGTCATGGAAAAAATTCCCCAAATTCATGGAAAATTCAGGGCTAAAAATAACCCCATGAAATTTCATTTTGCAGTATTCATGGGCCATGAAATGATCTTCATGGGTTTTTCACGTGAAATTCATGGAATGTTCATAAAACTACAGTTCATAGTGTGTATCACCCGAAGGAGTTGCTAAACAACTATCCCAGCTCAACCCTAACAAGGCATGCGGTCCTGACGAATTGCCTGCACGTGTATTGAAAGAGATATCTCAATCTGCTTCTGGATGGCTTGCTTTTATTTTTCAACAATCACTTAATCTCAACACGGTCCCTTCAGATTGGTCCAAGGCCCTTATCACTGCTGTTTATAAGAAAGACAATAAATCTCTTCCCTAAAATTACCGACCAAATCTCTTTAACCTCTATATGCTGTAAAGTAATGGAGCATGTTGTGCTCAGTCATATGGCCAAACACCTGTCTAAAAATAACATCATTATCGACGAGCAACATGGCTTTAGACAGCATTTTTCCTGCGAAACCCAATTGATAACAACCATACACGACTGGGCCAAATCAATTAATGTATGTCACCAGACTGATGCTATCCTGCTTGACTTCTCAAAAGCTTTTGACTCGGCTACTGCTGAAATTGGACTATAACAGTATTATAGGAAATTTGCTGTTATGGATAAAGGCCTTCCTGTCCAACCGTTCTCAATTTGTCTTCATAAATGGCACTCGATCTTCTCCCAAGCCTGTTTTGTCTGGGGTCCCGCAAGGTTCAATTTTGGGGCCGGTGTTGTTTCTATTGTATATAAATGATATCACGAACTGTATAAATGCTAATTTGCGTCTTTTTGCTGATGACTGTATTCTATACAGCGAAGTTCAAAGTTCGCAAGACTGCTTGTCTTTACAGAACGACCTGGACCAGTTTATCTTCATGTAGATAATATTTGCAAAAATGCTAACTCAAATCTGGGTCTTTTGCGCCGAGTGTTGGGTGGATGTAGCCATAAAGTTAAAGACACGGCATACCATACTCTTGTAAGGCCTAAACTCGAATATGCGTCCTCTGTATGGAACCCATATAGGCAGCATAACATAAGCAAAATTGAATCTGTCCAACGAAGAGCTGCTCAATTTGTCTTTAACGACTACTCGCATTATAGCCATGTTACACCTATGATACAAAGTCTTGGCAGGGATTCACTCTATCACCGAAGACTTCTTTCACAAGGCACTATGTTTTATAAAATCTATATGGGCCACGTTGGCATATCACTCCCATCTGATGTCAGACCATCAAGAGCTCCAAACTGTCGTCCTTTCAAACAATTGAAAGTGAATAATGATATATTTAAATACTCTTTTTATCCAAGGACAGTAGTTTTGTGGAACAATATATCTCTAAGCTCTTCTAACATTGTTAATATAGAGATATTTAGATCAAATGCTCTTTCATTTATTAGGTCGGTTTAGCCCATACTAATTTTATCTTTACGCTAT